ATCATATGGTAGGTCTTAATTCATGGTAGGTCTTAATTCAAATTTCTTTTTCTTTTCTTTTCTTTTCTTTTCTTTTTCTTTTCTTTTTTTTTTTTTTTTTTTTGACAGGCAGAGTGGACAGTGAGAGAGAGAGAGAGACAGAGAGAAAGGTCTTCCTTTGCTGTTGGTTCACCCTCCAATGGATGCCGCGGCCGGTGTGCTGCGGCCGGCGCACCACGCTGATCTGAAGGCAGGAGCCAGGTACTTCTTCTGGTCTCCCATGTGGGTGCAGGGCCCAAGTACTTGGGCCATCCTCCACTGCACTCCCTGGCCACAGCAGAGAGCTGGCCTGGAAGAGGGGCAACCGGGACAGAATCCGGCGCCCCAACGGGGACTAGAACCTGGTGTGCCGGCGCTGCTAGGCGGAGGATTAGCCTAGTGAGCTGCGGCGCCAGCCTGTAAATTCAAATTTCAGAGGTATCTCCACACTGTCTTCCGGACTGGCTGGACCAGTTTACATTCTCAACAACAGTGGATTACAACAGTATCTTTTCCTCCACATCCTCCCCAGCATTTACTGTTTGTTGATTTCTGTATGAGAGCAGTTTTAATTGGGGCGAGGTGAAACCTCATTGTGGTGATGGCTAGTCATCCTGAGCATGTTTGGTTCTTGGTGAGGGCCCTCTTCCTGGCTTGCAAACGGCTTCCTTCTTGTTCTGTACTTACATGGTAGACAGAGATGATAAAACCAATGATCCCAGGGGCTGGTGCTGTGGCACAGTAGGTTAATCCTCTGCCTGCAGTGCCGGCATCCCATATGGGTACCAGTTCTAGTCCTGGCTGCTCTTCTTCTGATCCAGCTCTCTGCTATGGCCTGGAATAGCAGTAGAAGATGGCCCAAGTTCTTGGGCCCCTGCACTCGCATGGGAGACAGGGACAAGCACCTGGCTCCTGGCTTCGGATCAGCACAGCTCCAGCCTTTGCAGCCATTTGGGGAGTGAACCAACGGAAGGTAGACCTTTCTCTCTGTCTCTCCCTCTCACTGTCTGTAACTCCGCCTGTCAAACAAATAAATAAATATTAAAAAAAAATTTGATCCCAAATTGAGGGCTTCACCATCATGACCTCAACTATCCCTACTACCTTCCAAAAGTGCAGCCTCCAATACCATCCACTGGGGGTTAGGGTTTGCGAAGACACTATTCAGTCCATATCAAGGTTATCACTTGTTGAGTCAATCAAGGATACAGCAATGAACCAAACAGTTTAATCTCATTCTCATAGGAGACGAAGGCAGTGTGGAAAGGCAGAATAATGACTCTCAAAGATTATATGCCACATCTCCACAACCTGTGAATATGTTACAATACATTATAAAAGGGAATTAGGTTGCATTGCAGTTGGAATTAAATTTGCTGATCAGCTGACCTCAACACAGAGAGAGAATCCTGCATTATCTGGATAGGCTAAATGAAATTCTAAAGGTCTGTGGTGAAGGAATGGAAGCAGGTTATAGGGAAAGTGGTTTCTGCCTGGCTCTACTTCCTGCCTGTGTCATAACTAGTAGTTGTCATGAAGGAACCCCTCAACTAGCTTTAAAACCAAAACTTCCAAATATTATGTACCAGATGGCAATACACTCTACGAAGAAAACTGGAGCAAGACGTGTAACTGGATAGGGAGGGTCAGGAGGGGATGATTGCACTTTTAGAGTTGAGGGGAAGGCATCTGGCACAGTGGGTTATGCCTCAGTTTGGGAGGGCCGCATCTCACATGGGATGCACCAGTATCAGACCTAGCTACTCACTTCTGATTCCAGCTTCCTGCCATTGCGTCCTGGAGGGAGCAGGTGATGGCTTAAGTGCCTGGGCTCGAGACACAGCTAGAGTTCTGGGTTCCTGGTTTCAGCATGGCCCAGCCCTGGCTGTGGTGGGCACATGGAGTGTGAACCAGAAGATGGACGATCTCTCCTTTTCATTCTGTTTCTGTCTCTGTCACTTTGCCTTTCAAGTAGATGAAAATAAATAAACATTTAAATAGAGTTGGAAGAGGAGACCTCCTGTGACTTTTGAGCAAAGAACTGAAAGAAGTGAGGTAGTACCTGAGCATGAAGTATCTGAATTCAAGAACTCTGTTCCTGGTAAAGGGGATAGCAAGCATCAAGGCCCTGGGGTAGCAGCTTACCTGGCATTTCTGGGGGCCAGGGAAGGTATCATAGATGGAGAAGTGACTGTGATGTGAAAGTTTGAAGGAGATGAGGTCAGAAACAAAGGGATGCAGTTTGTGCTGGTTTTATTCTGAGTGCGACAGGAAGTAAAAGGAGGATTTTGTGTAGCAGAGTGACAGTGACTTGCATTTCAACAGAATGACAAGGCTGCTCTGTGGAGAGAGGCCAGAGAGAGTGACACGGGGGAAGCAGAGGGATCAGTTAGGAGGCCACTGCATTAATCCATTCTAAAGGTATGGGTGGCTCAGACCAGGGTGGTACCTGTGGGGCGGGTGGAAAGAAATCTGCTTTTGGATAAGATTTGTGGCGGCATCATGGGTAAAACAGAAAAGTCAAAGATGATTCCACAGTTTGGGGCCTGAGTAAAGGACAGGTTGGTGTGGCCATTCACTTAATTTAGAGTTGGTTCAGTTTGGATGAATTCTTGTTACTCAAATCCTCCTCTCCCTCCGTTATTTCTCTTCAGACTGCTCTTCCAAAGACATAAAGACGCACACACACAATAGTAACCAGTGGGAAAGAGTGTCTTGCTCCACTCACCTGGAACATAGCTGGATTTGCTATGTAACCCCTATGCAGGGCTCTGGTAAAAGGCGGATTGGAGAGCGGGGGCTCAGATCTAGAATGGTGGATCTTCAGAGCAGATTCCAAAGGCTGACACATTTTCCTCCAGCCACCCAATAACAGGCAGAGAAGCTGGATCAGGGAGTGGGTGACCCTACTCACTGCTGAGCTATCCAGGGAACACCAGACTCCCTCTCAATCACCAGATTTGGCCCTCCTCCCCACGGAAGGATTTGGTGGGCTGGGGGTGGGGGAGAGTGGGGTCAAAGTTCCCTTTTCTCTGAGCATAAGGCTGAAATCTAGGGGGAGATGCAGGAATATTTTCATTAACCATTGATTAGAAATCAGTGCCCACTTAGCCCTGCCAATGACTTTTTTTTTTTTTTTGACAGGCAGAGTGGACAGTGAGAGAGAGAGAGACAGAGAGAAAGGTCTTCCTTTTGCCGTTGGTTCACCCTCCAATGGCCGCCACGGCTGGCGCGCTGTGGCTGGCGCACAGCGCTGATCCGATGGCAGGAGCCAGGTGCTTCTCCTGGTCTCCCATGGGGTGCAGGGCCCAAGGACTTGGGCCATCCTCCACTGCACTCCCTGTCCACAGCAGAGAGCTGGCCTGGAAGAGGGGCAACCGGGACAGAATCCGGCGCCCCGACTGGGACTAGAACCCAGTGTGCCGGCGCCGCAAGGCGGAGGATTAGCCTAGTGAGCCGCGGCGCCGGCCATCCCTGCCAATGACCTTTGCATTTGCACCTGACAGGTGAGCATGAATCTGAGAGCAAAAGTTGGATCTCAATGTTTCGCTTTCGTTTCTGAGACAAGAAACCTTCTTCTTCCTCTCTTAACAGGAAAGAAAGATCATGTAATGAGAATCCCAGGGCAGGCAACTGCCTCCTCCCAATTAGCGGCCAGAGAGGGAGACAGCAGGACTAATAAAGGTAAACTGGAATAATTAAGGGCCATTTCCATCCTAATTGTGCTAGATAATGAAGGGCTCTCTGATTGTCATGCGCACCGAAGGACAAAAGCAGCTTTGAGTGCAGTGACTGGGGTTTGAGCATCTGCAGATTAGGGCTGTCTGGAAATGAGGTTGCACTTCTCAGGGATGCACAGGAATATTGCTTGGTGGCTGCATCTTTGTATCTGGCAGAGTTCTAAATTCATAGTCATTAATATATTTCCCTGCCCAAATAATGCAGAATTAAATAGAGTCATACGATCCTGGTGGAAACCAATGGCGAATGGTATTTAATAAAATGCTTGCAATATCAGAGATGACCAGCCATCACAAAAGATATGTGGGCTTTTGGAGTCTCATTTAGTAGTTGTGGAAGCTTCTTTTGGGAGCCATGTTTTTTCCATATATCCTAAATTCTACTTAATGTATTTCCATGTCTCTTGAAAGTGTGCCTAAAAATTGTAAAAGGCAATTTAAAAAAGTATTTATTAATTATTTATTTCAAAGGCAGAGAGAGTTTTCATGTGTTGGTTCACCCCCACCCCCACCCCCAATGCCTGTAACAGCCAGGGCTGGGCCACATGAGCCAGGAGCTAATTGATCAGGGTCTCTCACCTGAGTGCGGGGGAACCATCACCTGCTGCTGCCGAGGGTGCACATTACAGGAGGCTGAAATGGAACCAGGACCCAAACACAGGCACTCAGACACATGATGCAGATTCCAAGTAGCTCCAACACAGACCCTTAAAACGCAATTCTTAGTCGTTTGTTACTCCTCAGGCAATATGCATGACACGCTACAGAAGGATCAGGAAGACCCAGTTCTTTCTCTCAGGACACCAGGGAGCTGGCATTTGATGACTCCTACTATGAACTAGGAACACTTTCCTCTCTAGGTGGTCTGGAAGTGGCCGCGGTGGATCCAACGCCTCCTTTCTCAAGTAACATCTTCCTCGCCGCCCTGGCCCAAGGGTCAGCGTCTTTTCTGCAAAGTTGGGAGCCCCCACACAAGGCCCACATCCTGTAACTTGCCCGAGGCAACACGATCCTAAAGGCTCACCCACAGAGCTGCCGTCCCGCAGGCGGCCGCCAGGGGTCCCCGCTCGGCGTCCAGCACGCTGCTCGTCAAGCCCCGGCGGGCTGCGCGGCGCGCTGGGCGCATGTGGGGGCTGCTTTGGAGTCGCAGCGGCTGCAGCGGGAGCCCGGGCGCTGGCCCCAGAGCCCCTCGTGTGGATCCGCAAGCGTCTCCCCTCCTGCCCGAGTTCACTGCTTTTCTCTCGCGCCGCCTGCAGCTGATCCAGTGAAGGGAGCCGACAGGGCCCTGGCTCGAAGGTAAATCCCCGCGGTGAGAGAGAACCGCTCCCGGCGACGGAAGGCGGCGCAGCCCGGCAGCTCCTCGCTCCCGTTCGCGCCCAGGCGGGCAGAGGTATGGGGTACACCTGGGGCGGGTGCAACAGGGGAGTGGGGGTGGTGTCGGACCCTTCTCTCCTGCCCTCAGTCCCCGGGGCTTCCGGGGCCAGAGCCCGCTTTAAAACCGAGCCCCAGCCGTGGCTGCCGGCCGGCTCCCGGGGCGCAGTACCCGGGCAGGAGCGAGGGTCGAGTTCCCACCGCGGGATCCGTGGCCTTGACTTTACAAGATCTGAGCGAAAACGCCTCCCACGGTCCGGAACCGCAGATGGGTGCGGGGTGCCGAGCTGGGCTGTGTGTGGCGAGAACAACTTTTCGGCAAGTGCACTTGGGCAGGGGGATCACGTTTGAGCGTCCGGCTGGGCTTGGGGCCGCGTCGGGGAACTCCGCGCCGTCAGCCGGGTCGCCCCGGGGCTTGCGGGTGCTTCGTGGAGGGCGGTAGTGAGTTAAGAACCTACAAATCCTGCTGAACTCTTGGGCCAACAGCTGTCAAGCTTCGGCAGTGCCAGCCCCTCCCTTTGCCTGTACCGGGGAGGAAGGGGGAAAACCTCACAACTTTTCTTCGCTTGCTCCTCCCCGCTTTCGGACCCCTCTCGCGAGGGTCAAGGGCCGAACCCTGGCGCCAGGCAGGTACTAGAGACCTTAAATCCCTCGGGATCCGCCTCACCCTCCTTCCCGGGCCCCTCCTAGCGCCCTCCCCGCGGGGACCGCGCTACTGAGCCGGCTGTGGTCGCGGCGAATGGCCTTTTGTTTCTCCGCGTTTCTCCCATTGTTTGCCTTTCCAACATCTGGCGAGGCTTGGGAAGCGAAAGAAGCCCCTCTGTCGCCCCTCTCCCCGGTCCCCCGTGCCTCCCGCGCCAGCCGCTTGGCCCGCCCGGGTTGGGGATCCGGGCCGAGGGAGAGAGGAGCCCGACCCTAGAGAGGCCGCCCCAGCCGAGGCCCTGTGGTTAGGAGGGCGGAGGGAAAGTGGTCCCTTCTCCGCCTCCTCGGCTGCCTGTGGCCCAGGGCGCATTTTTCAGATCTTATCCCAGGCGCGCCGCAAAGGGCGCAAGTTTGAAAAGGGTGCTGCTTTCGAGAGAGTGGAAAGGAGGTTCCGCCCCGCCCCAGGGTGTCCAGTGGCTGGTTCCATTTCAGTCTCCCTGCGAAAGCGGTGTGGCTGGGTGCTGCCAGGGCAGGAGGAGGGTGTCAGGGCCCCTCTGGTTAGGCAGAAAGCCGCGGTTCTGGGGTTTGCAAGTTTCCAAGGACTGGAGGGCAGGGAGGGAGATGCAAATAGACTTTTAGCTTCAAGCCTGGAAATCTGTAGTGCGGTGGTTCGCTTCCGCCTAAGCCTAGAGTTCTGGTTTCACTAGGGCTTGAAGTGCCCTCCCTGTAGTGTAGGAAAAGCGGATCCTGAGGATTCGGGCCGAGCAAGAAAGACCCGGTGACCTGGGCTGGGCCCGAGCTTCCCTGTGCAGGTTGCAGGTGGCCCTGGTTCCCTGTTCAAGTTAGATGCTCACACCCGCTGTTCCCTCTCGGGCAATGTGGATTACCTATCAAGGGGCTTCGTGGAGAGCAAAGCTACCTCTGGGAGAAGGCAGGGGCCCCAGGTGGTGCTCAGAGTCATTTAGCCTGTGAGCGGGAGGCCAAGCCTGCACACCTGTTGGAACCTATACTTTTGCATAGCCTGGCAGTGGACTGGGTTTTGTGGGGTGACCACAAAAGGAGCCCCTCTTCCAAGGAGGTTCAATTACACTCATTTTGTCCTTCAACTTAAAAAAAAAATACTTACATGAAAGGCAGTCATAGAAAAAGCGAGAGAAATCTTTCATTTCTTGGTTCACTCCCTAAATATCTGTGAAGGCTGGGGCTGGGCGGGGCAGAAGCCAGGAGCCTGGGACAACATCCTGATCTCCCCTGTGGGTGGCAGGGGCCAAAGGACAGGGGCCATCTTCTGCTGCTTTTCCAGGCACATTCGCAGGCAGCTGGATCAGAGCTGGAGTAGCTCCAAGGACTTACGCTGTTTGGAACAGGGGCTTAACCCGCTTTGCCACCCTAGCCCCATGTCCTCCAACTTTTGATCCCTCACCTCCTCAGGGGAGGGAGGAGCTTTCGGGGAACTTGGGATTTAAACTTGGAGTCCTGTGTGAAGTCCGAACCTCACGTTCCTTCTGGGGTGAATCACCACACTACTTGTGACCTGGGAACTCACTCAAACATTTTTAGTGGAAATTGTGCTTGGCTCTACACAGTTCTAAGAATTTTTCCTTTATAGACTTAACAGAACTTTGGGGCTTGTATTTATTTGTTTATTTGAAAAACAGAGTGACACAGAAAGAGAAAGGGAAAGAGAAAGTATTTTCTGCTTGTGGTTCACTCCCCACATGGCTGCAGCCGCCATGGCTATGCCAAGCCACAGCCAGGAGCTCCGTCTGGGTCTTCCATGTGGGTGCATTTCTGACTTAAACAATGAAAGGCACTACACATTTCCGAAGCTTTTTCCAGATCTTTAGATACAGGAATCAAACAGTGTACCACAGAAATCTTCACTAGTGCTCTGAACCGGAATCATAGGCTCACAAGTTTGACTAAGAACCCAGTGGTCATCTGATTCAACCGCCCATTCTGTTTCACTATGGATCTTAACTTTCTTTAAGCAATGAAATACCATTCTCCAAATGGCATCCTTTCAAACAAACCAAGCTGAGAAGCAAATGGACCAGGAAGTCAATCCTCCCACCACCCTCCCCGCCCCAACATGAGGGCAGAAAGGAAAGGCTTTGGTGCTACGGAGCTTGCCTCAGCTCTTAATGTGCCGAACTTCCATATCATAATCACTTTGAGCACCAGAGGCTTTAGTCATTGAAATGTGACCTTTTGCAATGTTCTCTGCTCCATGGCCTCTGTCTGCTATTTTTGTGAAGCCCGAAGGTGGGAGAGCAAAGCCAGTGTCAAGTGGCCAAAGGGGAGAGGAAGAGAGAATACAAAAAGAGAGGGGATCTTATTCCATTAAACCTGTATTCAGGACTTTCCAACAAGACATGGTACACCCAGGGATGGTTGACATTCCCTCTGTTTAGGGAAGGGATCAAGGTCAAACTTTAGAGACAGCAAACATTACATAAACTACCAATAATCCAATTTGAGGGTAGGCTTACAGGATGGCCAAATCATTCTTTAAATGAAGATGAAGGAGGAGGAAAAGAAGGAGATTTTAGAAGGAAATGGAATTAAAAAAAATTTTTTTAAATCTATTTGAGAGGTAGAGTTACTGACAGTGAGAGGGAGAGACAGAAGTCTTCCATCTGGTGGGTCACTCCCCAGATGGCCATAATGGCTGATGCTGGGCGGATCTGATGCTGTGAGCCAGAAGCTTCTTCTGGGTCTCCCACATGGGTGCAGGGGCCCAAGCGCTTGGGCCATCTTCCACTGCTTTCTCAAGCCATAGTAGAGAGCTGGATCTGAGGAGGAGCAGCTGGACTAGAACTGGTGCCCATATGGGCTGCAGCCCTGCAGGTGGAGGATTTACCTGTGCTGCAGTGCCAGCCCCAGGAAGTGGAATTTTTAATTATAAAAATATACCTTATCTCCTCCTGAGAAATGCTGTGAATCTGTAAAAGTAGGAGAAACATCTTGTGATTTCCACTCGGACGATCTCCCTGGCACAGTAACTGTATTTCTTATCTTCCAGGAAATTGTTCATCCTGTAGAAATACTTCCTCAGCTCCAGGTTGTTGAGCAGGAAGCGCCCAGTGCCTGAGTATTTCATCTCCTCCTCTTTGGTTTCATGTATGTCTTCCATTAGGCATTGTTCCAGATATGCCACTTGCTCATAAAGTCCATTTTGAATTTGCGTCAGATGTGTCTCTTCCCAAGTGGTCTGGAAGGCATGTCCCATGAAGATACAGAAGGCCTGTGTGGATATTTCATACCAGGCTTCCTTGATGTCCCTTTTCTCCATCTGGCTGTGTGATAGGATCTCTTGGGGTAACTCAAAATCTTTGATTTCTCTTAGACACTCTATGGGAAATGAATGGCTCACATTTCTCAGAAGTTTCATGTTTTTCCGGATGACCCTATTGAGGTTAACATTCAAGAAGTCACAGTCCAGAGCTTGGAAACCGATAATGAACACATGCATAAGGAATGCAAGCCACCAACACTTTTGAATCATGTCAGGCTAGGCACTCGTTCTTCCCAAGCTAAAATATCTATCCAAGGTTGACGGTGATATGTAGGTACTCCTCCGTGTGCCTTTATATATGTGACTATTCAGCAAGAGGAGTTTCCGCATTCATCATTTTTATAGTTCTCAGGGTTGCAGCCCCTTTCCTTGTCTTTTAGGCTTGTTTGACTTCGGTGACAGCACTGATTTTGGAAGTGCTATCTTTTTTTTAAAGTGAGCAAAGCATACTGTTGTGTGATCTTAGATGCCTTTATAACCCACCCCAGCACTGCAGGATCATCACAACACCACCCACACTAAGTAGTTCTGAAATCTGTGATTCTGTGCTCTCACTTACTCATCGAGCTCTGTAACATAACATGCAGCACTCCTTCATGAAATGTGTTTGGCATGCTTTTCTGTGGCCAAACAGCCTCTCTCGTTGATTTCATCATAGACATTGACCAAATGCTTGTGATATTTGATTACTAGGTCATGAGAGCATAACGTAGTTTAATGCTGTTACAGTAGTTTTTGTATTTGTGTATTTGGATATTTTCTCTTTTTATTGGATTTCTATGGGTCTTGCAAAAGATGAAAAACAGAGTTGGTCCTTTTTGCATGATGCTTATCAAAGACAAGTCTAAGCTGACTTGGTTTTCTGTCCCTTTTAGAAACTGTTGATATTATCCAGCTACTCTTTCCTTTAGGTAAATCCATCCCTGACTAGCATTGCTGCCATGTCTTTGATATCTTTCTTAGAAGTTCTCCAGTGGGTTGTATATTTCAGAGTATGTTTCTGCTTCATTAACTTCTCTGTTGTACTATCATACTTTTTTTAATTTTAAAAATAATAGTTTAGACAGTATCATGAAACT